ACGACATGATTGAGTGACCGGAGGAACATAAATGCATGCGACTCACCAATAGATGCGAAGAATTATGGCCTCCTACAGGATTGTCGAGTAGTCATCAAGTGTGAGAAAATGGAAACTGTAACAAACCATGGAACACCATTGAAATACCATACTGATTGTTTGAAAAAGATGAAATAAATAAAAAATATATAAAAATAATTACCTCTTCGCGTGATGGATGACCGCCTTATTCTCTTGAGCACTGACTCTATCTTATACCGAAAACAAATATTATTTAAAAAAAAGAAAATAAAACAAATAAAAAACTACTAACGCGTTCGTTTAATTTACAATCGGCGAACAAGCACTGACTCTAATTTCGCGATTATCATATCAAGTAAATTTAATTACAACTATTTTAAAATATTAAAAAAACTATTACGAAGCAAACACTGAATCTATCAACCGCATTGCGCGCGGTCACAAAAATTCTCTGAAAATAAAGTTGTAATAATAATAATGGAAGGTCTATAGAAAAAGAAGTAAATTGATCTCTTTAGATTTTCCTCCTTTTTCTTATCAAATATTTGTTTCAGAAAATATTACCCTTTTTTTATTTAAGACTCGTTACTAATTTTTCACGAATAAAAAAATTTCATATATGTATAAAAAGATTGAATATATATTTTTAAATTACTGTACAAACATAAGTATTGATATTTGTCGTGAATGTTCATTATAAAAGTATAAATATATGTTGAAATAATATAGTATAAATCACATAAATATAGAATTAAAATATCAAATAAAAATAGAACAAATACATACAGTACAAGAGCGAAAAATCAAAAAATTTCTTCTTTTTGAAAAAGTACGATTGACGTCCATATTGGAATTCTTTCCGTCTTTGAAGTTGGATTATTAATCTGAAAATAACTTGTAAAAAAAAATATTAATTTTCAAATTAATGTACAAAATGATTAAAATTAACCGATCTCGTGAAAATAAAACAACAATCGATAAATTCCATCTTAGAAAGTCGTAATACTATAAAACTATAAAACAAATATATGAAAAAATATATTAAGATGAAGCAACAAGTGAATATCGGCTGAACGAAGCAGGAACTACCGATAGCATGAATAACCTCAACAATGGAATACACGATCGACGGAAAAAACACAAAACACTAATTAATTTTTTCGTTATAATAATAAATGGATTAGAAAATAAACAAAACTGATAGTAATTTTTAAATTTGAAAAGAAAATATGAAGAAAATTACTGCGCAGTTGAATTAGCGAGACCGATTGCGATCATACATCCTATTATGATGATTTTCCACAGGAGACTGACGACATCTACTACAATTCGAATTGGCGTTTTCTGATTGGCTGATTGTTCTAAGCCAATTCGATAATCGAAATCGCGCGAAAAATTAAAATATTTCACATTACATTTTTATTATTCTAATTAAAAATATATTAATTTATTTATATATTACTAATTTTTAATATTTTTTAACATTTTTAACATTTATTGTTCTATATATCTGACTTTTATATTTATGATTCTTTTATTAATTCAATTATGTATTGATTTATTTATCGATTATCGATTTAGCGATTATTTATTTATTTGTCTAGTTATGTATATATACATTTATTCATTTTTCATCTACAATCTAAGCTTTTTTCGCTTCAAATTACAGAATTTATTTTGATACGGAATACGTTTACAATAAACTTAATCTAACTTAATATAATTTATTAATTATTCTATTAATACCTACAGTCCAGTCTA